TCAAAAATTTGAGGAGGGGTGGGGAGCCAGAAGGTGGGGGAAACCTTTGGAACAAAGGGYCGAATCTCAACAGATCGTGATGACAAGGCCACTCTACTGCTTACAACAACCCGTTCCCTCTCTAAGTCGTCTGGAAAGGGTTTGACTCCCCGAGGGAAAGAAATTGCGATGAAGAGACCCCCAGGGCGTCGGTGCTCGGCCGCAGGAGCGACAACTCCGAACTTATGCTTTCGGGGCCAGACCGGCTGGCCCTATCGACAGCCTTGTGTCATCCGAGGAGGCATACGCCATGGCTGCAAGCACCGATTCTTACTTCGAGACGTTTAGTCAATCCCACGCACGGTAGCTTTGCACCGCTGGCTTTTCAGCCAAGCACAATTGCCAATTGTGCGAACCAACGGTTCCTCTTGTACTGGGTTGCATTACCATTGCGACGGCGGTGCATCAGTAGGGTAACACTAACCTGTCTCACGATGGTCTAAGCCCAGCTCACGTTCCCTGTTGGTGGGTGAACATTGCAGGGCTAAACTCAAATTTCTCTGCGTTTCGCAAGTGCCGCTCCCTTGGCGGCGTCCGTTCCCAGCGGGTTCAACAGCGGACTGGAGGCTGGGTAGGACTCTCCCAGGAGGGAGTTCCGTTAGAGAACTTTAGCCGTTTCTTATACTAGACAGATTAGCCCTCCCATTCGATGTCCTCGTCCCAATGATAACCGCTCCAGTGTTTAGTTGGCACCGGCGTTGCGACAGTGAACGTTTTCGCGTTATCGTCGACTTTGTCATTTTTTCAATTGCAAAGAATTACGACTCAGTGGATTGCCATCACGCTGATGAAAACACGGATGACGCTCACAATGCTAGCAATGTCGTCGTCCAATTAGTACTATCACAAGCTAAACTGCGAAAAAATTACAATATCATATTTTTTTTAAGTACATGATTGGCGTTGCGTAATGAGTACTTATTTCGAAATGGTTGTAAAGAGGCTATCGATTACCGTACTACATAAGGATGACGCCAGGATGAGTTATTTTTAGGATTTGTTTCTTCTAGGAAGGAAATATATTTCCACTTTCATAACCTTACAATAAAATGTGGAAGAGAGACTACAATAATGTAAACGTTTGCAACATTGTATAATTTAACGGAGCACCACCCATCATGTGCTGCTTGTACTTAAGACCCAAGTGAATATTTGCAGTAACCATCCACGCGATCTGGTTGAGTCGTTTTTTATGATTTCCTTCCTATATGAATGAAATATATTTCCACTTTCATAAGCTTACAAAAAAATCTGAAATAGAGACTACAATACTGGCTGCTGGCCACATTCTAGAATGAAACCAAGCACTTCCGTCCACCCATTGTGTGTTGGTCGTACAGAGCACCCAAGCATGCAATTTCCGGTGACCATGTACGCGATCTGGTAGAGCCATGTTTTAGGACTTGCTTTTCGATCAATGAAATATATTCTGACTTTGATAATTATAATAAACTGTGAAACAAAGGCTGCAATATTGTAAACTTATTCAGCACCACCCATCATGTGGTGCTTGTACTTAAGACTCAGGTGAATATTTGCAGTAACCATCCACGTGATCTGGTTGAGTCATTTTTTATGATTTGCTTTCTATATGAATGAAATATATTTCTACTTTCATAACCGTACAAAAAAATCTGAAATAGAGACTACAATACTGGCAGTTGGCCACATTCTAGAATTAAACCAAGCACTTCCGTCCACCCATTGTGTGTTGGTCGTCTATAGCACCCAAGCATACAATTTCCTGTGACCATGTACGCGATCTGGTAGAGCCATGTTTTAGGACTTGCTTTTCGATCAATGAAATATATTCTGACTTTGATAATTACAATAAACTATGAAACAAAGAATGCAATATTGTAAACTTATTCATCATTCCAGAACGAGAACGATCAATTGTACACCCATTGTGTACTGGTCGTTCTCAGCGCCGATTGGGTGGTATGGAGTGAGCATCCACTCGAGGATGACTCATTTTTAAGAGTTGGGAATATAGAAATGAAATATATTTCCACTTTCATAACCTTAGAATAAAATGTGAATGAGAGATTACAATACTGTAAACAATTGCAACATTCTATAATTAAACCGAATAATTGGACCACCCATTGTATGGTGGTCGTACTGAGCGCCCAAGCGAACCTTTGCAGTAAACATCTACGCGATCTGGTTGAATCATTTTATAAAGATTCGTTGGTAGCGGGAATGAAATATATTTCCACTTTCTTAACCTTACATGAGCACATATTTTTAAGTTAGCCTATCCACGTATCATTTAAAGGGCAAGCATACGTTTGTAGTGAGCATCCACGCGAGGATGAGTCATTTTTAGAATTTGCATTTGTAAGAATGAACTATATTTTCACTTTCATTAACTGACAATGGAGTGTGAAACATAAACTGCAAGACTGTAAAAGTTTGCAGCATTATTGAGAGAGACCAAGCAACTGGACCACCCATGAGGTGGTAGTTCTAAGCAGGAAAATGAACAACGGCAAGGACTTCAACACTGTAAAATTTTGCAACATTCCCAAATGACGGAGTCAAGTGCAATATCGTCACTGTCAGCGACGATTGACGCATGCGTTTTGAATTTGCTTTTCCAGGACTTGAATTTTTTTTTTGCCTGTTCGTAACCTGAGAGCATATTATGAAACAGAGACCGCAATTCTGCTTGGGAGGAATGCATATCAGGCGAGTTCCGCAACTTGATGTACCAATTAACCGTGCAGTAAAATATTTTATATTGTAAATTTGATCCGTCATTTTTTGGATTCACTTTTCCAATAGTCCAATCATTTTGCGTTTTCATTACCTGACAAAAAATATGAAACTGAGGTCGCATATTGTAAAACATTGGAATCTTATTTAGACGGCGTACGTAACTTCTTGTTGCAATGAACTGTAAAGGAAAATATATTCGATCGTAAAATTGATCAATGTTACATACTTATCAACTACACCATCTATTTTGTCGCTCGTGGAAAGCACCCGAACGAACAATTTGAGTGACTGTACACGTCAGGATGAATGATCTTGTATATTCGCTTCCCGAAGTGGGGGTTGTGAGGTTCTCATCACGAGACAAAAATATGCGAAACAAATACTGCTATACTGTAAAAGTTTGCACCATTCCAGAATAAGAAAGTCACCCCCTTCTTGCAATGCCGTCAATGCCAGAATCAGTATGGGGATATGTGAAATTCGCAAATTTTGAGTAAATGAGTGCGATATAATTTATTTCGTAGTTGAGTACAGACGTACGGATTAAGGCCATGCAAGTCTAAGTGTGAAACTTTGCACTGTGAAACTGCGAATGGCTCATTAAATCAKTTATCATTTATTTGGTGGTCTCCTTACCACTCGGATAACCGTGGTAATTCTAGAGCTAATACGTGCAGCATATCCCGACTTCWGGAAGGGATGTATTTATTGGATAAAAGGCCGCTCCGGGCTTGCCCGTTGTTGCGGCGAATCATGGTAACTTGTCGAATCGCATGGCCTTTGAGCCGGCGATGTTCCATGCCCTATCAACTTTCGATGGTAGGATAGAGGCCTACCATGGTGGTAACGGGTGACGGAGAATTAGGGTTCGATTCCGGAGAGGGAGCCTGAGAGATGGCTACCACATCCAAGGAAGGCAGMAGGCGCGTAAATTACCCAATCCTGACATAGGGAGGTAGTGACAATAAATAACAATACTGGGCTCTTTCGAGTCCGGTAATTGGAATGAGAACAGTCGTAAGCTCCTTGAACGAGGATCCATTGGAGGGCAAGTCTGGTGCCAGCTGCCACGGTAATTCCAGCTCCAATAGCGTATATTTAAGTTGTTGCAGTTAAAAAGCTCGTAGTTGGATTTTGGGTGGGAGGGTTTGGTCCGCTCTTGCGGGCGTGTACCGGCCCTTTCGCCTTTCTTGCCGGGTATGCATTCCTTGCCTTTATTGGCTGGGATCCAGAGCYGGCGCTGTTACTTTGAAAAAATTAGAGTGTTCAAAGCAGGCCTGTGCTCTGAACATATCAACATGGAATAACGCGATAGGACTCTGGTCCTATTTCGTTGGTCTTCGAGATTGGAGTAATCATTAATAGAGACGGTTGGGGGCATTCATATTTCATTGTCAGAGGTGCAATTCTTGGATTTATGGATGACGAACTTCTGCGAAAGCATTGGCCAAGGATGTTCTCATTAATCAAGAACGAAAGTTGGGGGATCGAAGACGATCAGATACCGTCCTAGTCTCAACCATAAACGATGCCRACTAGGGATTGGCGGATGTCTATTGGATGACTCTGCCAGCACCTTGTGAGAAATCAAAGTTTACGGGTTCCGGGGGGAGTATGGTCGCAAGGCTGNACTAGGGATTGGCGGATGTCTATTGGATGACTCTGCCAGCACCTTGTGAGAAATCAAAGTTTACGGGTTCCGGGGGGAGTATGGTCGCAAGGCTGAAACTTAAAGGAATTGACGGAAGGGCACCACCAGGCGTGGAGCCTGCGGCTTAATTTGACTCAACACAAGGAAACTCACCAGGTCCAGACATAGCAAGGATTGACAAATTGAGAGCTCTTTCTTGATTCTATGGGTGGTGGTGCAACCGTTCTTAGTTGGTGGTATGTCTGGTTAGTTTCGTTAACGAACGAGACCTCAGCCTGCTAAATAGCTACGCGGGGACCTTTCCTYGTGGCCAGCTTCTTAGAGGGACTGTTGGACGACTAGCCAATGGAAGTTTGAGGCAATAACAGGTCTGTGCTGCCCTTAGATGTTCTGGGCCGCACGCGCGCTACACTGATGAATCCAACGAGTCGCTTGCCTGGGTCGAAAGGCCCGGGTAACCTTCTTAAGGTTCATCGTGACGGGGATAGATTGTTGTAATTATCGATCTTGAACGAGGAATGCCTAGWAAGCGCGAGTCATCAGCTCGCGCTGATTACGTCCCTGCCTTTTGTACACACCGCCCGTCGCTCCTACGGATTGAATGGTCCGGTGAAGTGTCTGGATTGCGGTGCTCCCGGCGGTTTGCCGCTGGTGGTCATGTGAGAAGTTCATTGAACCTTATCATTTAGAGGAAGGAGAAGTCGTGACAAGGTTTCCGTAGATGACCCTGTGGAAGGATCATTGACACGTGAATGACCGATCTTCGGGGCTGGCTTGCTCGCCCTTCCGCCGCCCTTTGCCCCCATCCTCCCTGCATCCGGTTTTCTCTTCCGTTTCAGCACCATCTTGGGCTTAGCGCCCAGCTGGCGGCTGGCCGGGCGCAGAGGGGCGCGTGGTGTAGGTCGAGGGGGGGGGGAGTGGGCAGGGTCCGGGGCCTTGTGGCGTTGCTCCCCCTTCGTCCCGTCTCGCCTCCGCAGGTTGTTACCTCGGCCCAGCCACACTCTCGACTTCTGGTCGGGATGGCGGTTGGTCCGGGCACGGACAGCCCTGCGGGAGGGTCAGGGGCGGGATGTCGGGTGGTGGCGGCTGTCCTCGGCCTGCGTACCCCTGCTCCTTCCTGTCTCAACTTTGTCCAGACCTCCTTTCCATCCCGTCCTCGACCTCGGCTTCGTGCGGAGCTTGTGGCTTGTTTGGGGATCGAGGGTCGTGGTACAGGCTAGGGGCGGGGTGTGTTGCGGGGTCCTCGACCCCTCCCCGTTTCGTCCTGCCTTCCTTCTCGTCGGGCTTCTCCTTTCCGGACAGATCGTCATCCTCGACGCAGTGGAGGTGGTCTGAATCTCGGGGTGGAGGGCCGTTCGGGGAGGGTTATGGTCGTGAATGGGGTGGTGTCGGGCTGGGGGGGGCGGAGGAGACAGCGCTTGCACCCTCGTTGCCCCGCTGCTCCCCGGTGCCCTGCCTGGCCCCCGAATGGGGGGTCGGGCAGGCCCGTGGCAGCAGCTAGTGGCGACGGCTTTGCAACTTCTYATTGATGTACCTGCTCTGATTTGTCGCTGTCCGGGTTGACGGCCCCCTTCTGTTCTGGTCGAGGGGTCGGTTCTGTCGGAACGGCACCATATTGTAGAACTCTCGGCAAACGAATATCTTGGCCCTCGCAACGATGAAGAGCGCAGCGAAATGCGATACTGAATGTGAATTGCAGAAATCCGTGAGCCATCGATACCTTGAACGCACGTGGCGCCCAAGGCTTTTGCCGAGGGCACGCTCGCTTGAGCATCATTGGATTCCTCACGACCTTAGCACCTTCCGTTTCGGAGAGTGGTGGGGTCCGTGGTCGTGGGTTCCCTCGCTTCCCACTTGGAGAGCGTCGATAGCCTAAAGTGGAAGGGAATTGGAGAGCATTCCGAGCGGGCCTGTGGGGGCGGCAGCACAGAGTGGTGCGTTTCGCTCCGCCCTATTGTTGCCCTCCAGCACCCGTTTGTGGGTGGTGGTCTTCGTTTCCCTGAAAACGGCACATAACGTCGTCCCTCCGGTTTGTGTGGTCGCCGCCTTCCGTTCGCTCCCATCATCTTGAGGTGGGCTTGCGGTTGGGGGTGTCGGCCTCAAGCTGTGGAGGTACGTCGGGCCTTGCCTTTTGATCTCATGTCGGGCGGGAGCACCCGCCCAATTTAAGCATATAACTAAGCGGAGGAAGAGAAACCAACGAGGATTCCCTTGGTAGCGGCGAGTGAACCGGGAATAGCCTAGACTGAAAATCCGGGGGCTGTGTTGCTCCCTGAATTCTAGTATTGAGAGGCAACCTCTGCAGCGAGCCGTGTGCAGGTTCCCTGGAAGGGGACGCCRAAGAGGGTGACAGCCCCGTCGACCACCGGACCCTGCTGCGCAACGAGGTGTTGTCCAAGAGTCGGGTTGCTTGGGAATGCAGCCCCAATTGGGTGGTAAGTCCCATCCAAGGCTAAATATGTGCGAGGGACCGATAGCGAAGAAGTAMCGCGAGGGAAGGATGAAAAGAACTTTGAAAAGAGAGTTTAAGAGTGCTTGAAATTGTCGAGCGAGAAGCGGATGGAGGGGAAGTYGTGCGCTCCCGTCTGGGCAGGGGTGGACGGCGACTGTGTTGTCGCTCCCCTTGTTGGACGGGGGGTGCCTGCCTGCATGGGCTGCTGTGACCAGCATTGCGGTGGGGAGCGATTGAAACCCCCCACGGGTGGCCGTCACAACAGTCGAGGACCTTGAGCCGCGCCTGTTTCGGCGGGCTTGTTCGGGTTCCTGTGTGTTCGGGATGCTTGCGAGATTCCTCTATCCTGCCCGTCTTGAAACACGGACCGAGGAGTTCAACGTGCATGCGAGCCGGTGGGTGATTAGCCCACGAGGCGGAAGAAACCTGAGTGGCGGGAACCCTCTGCGGGTGCACCGTCCGCCAACCACGAACTGCTGTGAGAGGTTTGAGTGTGAGCATGCCCGTTGGGACCCGAAAGATGGTGAACTATGCCTGAGCAGGGCGAGGCCAGAGGAAACTCTGGTGGNCATGCCCGTTGGGACCCGAAAGATGGTGAACTATGCCTGAGCAGGGCGAGGCCAGAGGAAACTCTGGTGGAGGCTCGCAGCGATACTGACGTGCAAATCGTTCGTCGGACGTGGGTATAGGGGCGAAAGACTAATCGAACCATCTAGTAGCTGGTTCCCTCTGAAGTTTCCCTCAGGATAGCTAGAGCTGTTGAACAATTTTATCGGGTAAAGCGGATGATTAGAGGCCTCGGGGGTGAAACACCCTCGACCTATTCTCAAACTTTAAATAGGTAAGATTTCGGGGTTGCTTAAGCGAACCCCGAGGATCAAGGAAAGCTCCAAGTGGGCCATTTTTGGTAAGCAGAACTGGCGATGCGGGATGAACCGAAAGTCGAGCTACGGTGCCAAACTGCGCGCTAACCCAGACACCACAAAGGGTGTTGATTGATACAGACAACAGGACGATGGTCATGGAAGTCGAAATCCGCTAAGGAGTGTGTAACAACTCACCTGCCGAATCAATCAGCCCCGAAAATCGATGGCGCTGAAGGGCGCGACCTATGCTCGGTCCTCGCGACGATTCTGACGCCGCGACGAGTAGGAGGGCGCGGGGCCTGCTGCGAAGCCTGGAGCGTGAGCCTAGGTGAAGCGGGTCCTGGTGCAGATCTTGGTGGTAGYAGCAAATATTCAAATGAGAACTTTGAAGACCGAAGTGGAGAAGGGTTCCATGTGAACAGCGCTTGGACATGGGTCAGTCGGCCCTAAGAGATGTGGAAACCTTGTATCAAGGGCGCACTGCACGCCGCACATCGAAAGGGGGYCGGGTTAATATTCCCGAACCGGGTTGTGGAGGTGGACGGTAACGTAAGCACCTCCAGAGATGCCGGCGGGGGCCGTGGGGAGGGTTCTCTTTCCTTCTTGACGGCTCGCCCACCCAGGAATCGGATCAACAGGACATAGTGTGCAGCGCCCGGCAAAGCACCGCGCGTCCTGTGGTGTCCAGTGCGCCCCAGACGGCCCTTGAAAATCAGGAGCTGCGGGTACCTCTCACGCCCGGCCGTACTCATAACCGCATCAGGTCTCCTAGGTGAGCAGCCTCTGGTCAAATGAAGAATGTAGGTAAGGGAAGTCGGCAATATGGATCCGTAACCTTGGGAAAAGGATTGGCTCTGAGGGCTGGGCCTAGGGGTCTGCGTCTCGATGTCGTTGGCTGTCGGTGGTCTGCCCAAGCTGCTCTCGCGGCGAGGGCGGAGCCCGCGTGCCAGTGTGCCGACGGGCGTAGAATGTCTTATGTCCCCACCTTTCGGGTGGGGCCATGGGACTCTCCCTAAGCATCAGAACTGGTGCGGACAAGGGGAATCCGACTGTTTAATTAAAACAAAGCATTGCGATGGTCCCAACGGATGTTGACGAAATGTGATTTCTGGCCAGTGCTCTGAATGTCAAAGTGAAGAGATTCAACCAAGCGCGGGTAAACGGCGGGAGTAACTATGACTCTCTTAAGGTAGCCAAATGCCTCGTCATCTAATTACTGACGCGCATGAATGGATTAACGAGATTCCCACTGTCCCTATCTACCATCCTGCGAAACCACAACCAAGGGAACGGGCTTGGAAGAATAGGCGGGGAAAGAAGACCCTGTTAAGCTTGACTCTAGTTCGACTCTGTGAAATGATTTGAGAGGTGTAGAATAAGGGGGAGCCTTACGACGCAAGTGAAATACCACTAATTTTAACGTTATTTTACTTATTTCGTGAGGTGGAGCCGBGGCTCTGCCCCTGCTTCTCGATCCAAGGTGCAGGCCCTCGTGGCCTGTCCGATCCAAGCRAAAGACATTGTCAGGTGGGGAGTTTGGCTGGGGCGGCACATGTGTTAGAAGATAACGTAGGTGTCCTAAGATAAACTCGACGAGAACAGAAATCTTGTGTGGAGCAAAAGCGAAAAAGCTCATTTGATTTTGATTTCCAGTACGAATACAAACTGTGAGAGCATGGCCTATCGATCCCTTAGCGTTTCAGGACTTGAAGCTAGAGGTGTCAGAAAAGTTACCACAGGGATAACTGGCTTGTGGCAGCCAAGC